ATATTTTACTGGGATAACATTATAAACATTATTGTATTTACATGTTATATAACAATTATATTTATAATGTATGCATATTTTGTCATGGTATTTTAAATACAAAAATATTTTATATTTGATGATAATGAATAATTAAAATAATAATTACAAAGAAAAAAAAAACGAAAGAAAAGAAATAAACAAAAACAAATTAGAAATTTTAGAAATATAAAATTTAAAAAAATTTTGAAAATATTAAAAAAAAATAATAATAATAATGTCAAAATGAAACAATATTTTTTAATTTCGTTTAAATTAAGATATTGAATGAAATCAATAAATATACTTACTTATTAATAAATCAACAAAAGAAAATATTAACTAAAGGTAAAATATTAATTAATAGATGCCAACAAAATTGATAAAATAAATAAAAAAATTAATGTTTTTACACAAAATAAAAAAAAAAAACAACAAAGTTATTAATTAAAATATTAGACAAAAAAAAAAATAAATTAAAAAAAAAGTAATTTTCTCAAATTCTAAATTCAAAAAAAAAAAATAAAATTTAATAATTTAGTCAATTTTATATTAAAAAGAATAAGATTTCACTGCTCAATTATAAAGAATTTTTATGTAAAATACATAAATAAATAATTTCCATAAAAAGAAAATTTTAATTGACAAAAAAAAATTAAGTATATAAAGGAAAATAAAACATTAAAATTTATCGTAAATTTTAAAATATGCACTTATATTTTAAAATAAAAATTATTTTTTTACTAAAATGACTGATTTAATCAAAAGTCAATTAGTAAACTACTTTAAATTAGAATTTATTAATCATTTTTTTTTATAATTGTATTTTAGCGAAATATTTTTAATTTTTATTTAAATTACACATTTTTTTTTTTATAAACATCAAAATTTAATAAAATTAGTAATATTAATTAAATTCTTAATTTTTTTTTTTATATTTTTTTTTTTTTGGAAAATACAAGCGATACAATATTAAAGTATATTACACATATTTCGAAAATGCAGCTATATTATAAAGCAGCTATATTAAAAAATAATTATTAAATACTTAATAAAATAAAAGCTCATCTATACAAAAATAATTATTAACTATAAATATTATTATAATCTATATATTTATTATATAAATTTCAAAAAAGAAAAAAAAAAAAACAAAAAATAACTTAGAAAAAAAAAAAATATCTATATTAAATTTTTAAGTTTATTTGAATACTAAAAAAATTTTCCTAATTATTATTTTTAAATTTTGTATCGCAATTTCGATTTTCAAAGATTTTTAAACCCATATATTATTTTCTAAAATGTATCATATTATTGTTGGTAGAATATTATTCAATTAATATTTATTTATGTTTTCAATATTATAATTTCAAAATTCAACATTAATTTTGATTTATTAATTATTTTATTTCATTATATTATTTATTTGTTCTATTTGAATAATAATCTAATCACTTTATATGATGGTAATTAAATTATATTTATTTTAATATATATATATATATAATGGGTATTCACTGATTAGTTCAAAATATCTTGTATCAATGTATTGATGTATCAGAGTAAAGTTTTGCAAAACTGCTACAATAACAATTTGTATGTAAAAAAAAAAATTCCCTCACTAGTGAGTAATGTGCTCTGCTAAAACGTTGTCTATAAATTTTTTTGTTCCTCAAGCAAATTTCTAAAAATGACATTTAAAAAAAAAGAAATAATTTGTGAATTTAAAAAAAAATTAAATAAATTTTCTTAAATATTTTCGAACTATAAATAAAATTAAAAAAATATACTTAATGATTGTAAATTTTTTGTTGCAATTTTATATCGAAAATTTTCTTCGGTCGTTCACTAGTTCGAGGAAAATTATTTTTATTTTCCTCTTTTTTTTTTTTGTTTTGCACTAAAAACGTCAATATGTTAAAACCTCTTTAATTTATATAATTTATATAATTGAAAAATATTTAATAAAAAATTTTATATTATGCTTTAATACTCTAATAATTATATATAATGAAACAAAGTATGAATTATCCAGAATATATTAGGAAAAAACAGAATATTAACAAAATTTATTTATAAAAAAAAATTTTAAATTTTTAAAAAATAAAATAAAAAAAAAAATTGTTTCTATTTGTTTTTGCAGTGTTCTTATTACTATAATTTCTCTTGCAATTAATTAATTAATTTTATTAAATTAAAAACAAAATATCATAAATATTGTTCGTTCCTAAAAAAAACATAAATGAAAAAAAAAATAATAATATGCATAATATGTGAAAATAAAAATTTATAATGACAATAATGATAAAAAAATTAGATCAAATAACATTTTTCTTAATTTTTGATGTTTTTTTTTTTAATTATTGTTAATTTAATTTTTTCATTTTTTTTTAAATAAAAATTAAATAATTGAATAAAAATATTTTATAAATAAATCATAAAAAAAAATTTTTTTTTTTTTTTGTAAAAATAATAATTGTCATTCCATATATAAGTATATATATACATATATATATTTTTTAAATAATTTTATTGTATTTTAATTTTTTTTCCTTTGTTTTAATTTTCATATAATAATATATACCACATATTTTAAATAAAATATCCAACTATAAAAATATTGTTTTTTTTTTAAGGTAGAATTTAAAAACTATATATATAAACAAATTATATATATATTATACGTATACAAAACAAAAAATAAATATAAATGAAATTATATTTGCATAAATCTATAATATTCATAATTGTATGTATGTACATATATATATAAATGACTTGTATATTATATTATAAAATAAAAGAAAAAAAAGGGACAGTAAAAAAATGAATAATCAAGTGTAGATTATTGCAATTGCATAGAAATAATAAAAAAAAAAACAAATAAATTTACCAAAAATAAAAGAAAAAAATTTTTCTATTTGAATAAAAAAAAAAAAATTGAAGAATACAAAAATTCATTGCTACATTTTCATGACTAAATTCACAAAAACAAAAAAAAAAAACAAAAACAAAAAAAAATCAAAAATAATAAAAAAATGAAAAATTTCACGTTTTTTTTTTTTTTTTATTGGGTATAATAAATTAAAAAAAAAATAATCATTTTTTTTTTTCCGTTTTTAAAAAATCCATGTAAAAAAAATTTATCAATTATAAAAATAAGTAAAAAAAAAAAAATACTAAAACCAAATTTCAAGCAGTATTAAATGCGATAGAATTTTATCACCTGAAGAAAAAAAAAATTACTTTAATGTTATTGGAATATATTGATGAAAAGCAAAAATAAAAATAAAAAAATATATATATATCTCTTAATGTGTTTTATTTTAAAATGATATTACCGAATACGGCGATTTCGTTAACTTATAAATTTCTCTGGAACTGGATTTGGTACCACACCTGACGATAACGTATTCGTCGATGTTTTTTTTATATATACTCAATTTTCGAGAAGTGCGCATACATATGTGTTACATTACATTATACATGGGCGGACCAAATATTTTCATTGCCAAATTTTGGGTAAAATTCGCCATATATAATATGCTCATTATAAGGGGGTTGTCATTGTCGAGAAAGTGATGACATTTTAACAATTAATTTTTTATTAATCTAAATAAAATTATTGATTAAATTAAATACAAAATTTTATTCTTGATTTTAATGTGATACGTATTCTAAGCAATTTTGCTCAAAGTTATTGTCTTTTGCAAAAAAGCGAAATATTTCAAGCAAAAGATTTTTGAAGCAACGTTAAGCGCGTAATTAATTCAATTGAAGCCCGTTTTAAGAATTATGATATCAGTAATTTTGTGTTCAATTAAATTTTTTTGATTTCCCATAATTTATATTAATAGGTTTATTATGTACGGCGAATTCATTATATAGCGTATTCATATATAACGTTTGAAATTATGTAATTTTTTTTTGTACAATGGCAGCTTTGCAAAGAATTGACAGTATTTTCAAGTAAAATATCGCAATAAAATTCTATACACCTTTAAAAAAATTCGTTTATAAATCATATTTTCATTATCCGTAGATACTTCATCTTGTCTTATTTTCTAATATAATTGCATTCGTTAAACTTGTTAAATTTGCGAATCGATTGGGCGAATTTCCTGCACATAATACTTTGTTACATTAGCTAAATTTCTTTGCGAATCCGACATACATAATGAACACATAAAAAAATTTTTAATAATAATAATTATTACTAAACCATAAAAAGATAATTCCAATAATGAAGTAAAATGGAGATTTCAGAGTTACTGTTATATTTGTGTTCTGCATGCATATCCAAGTTGTTTCGGCACTTGAAATAAATGGAACGGCGGAGCCATTTGTACATAAAGTTTGAGTATTTTTAAGGTGAGAAAATAGTTTTCACAAATCTAGTGTAAACAATCCGTTACTAAAATATTTCGATTTTGCATAAATATTCAAATTTTGAATTTTTGTCGTAGATTATCCTAAACAACCATGAAACTAATTTTTTTTTGACAACCGCGTGCGGCATATACTAATTTTAATAGAATGTAATTTTTTTTAATAATATTTATGTAATATGCTTCATTTGACAGCTTAATTTCTAAATTCAAAATTCATAAAATGTGGCAATATCTTAAATTTATTTTATTTACCATTTTGCTCTTATCTGGCCATACATTTTTTTGAAGGTAATTTGAAAGTTTTCATTTCTAGTGGGAGTTTGGAGTTATAATTTTTTTTGGGGGGATTATGAAAATCTAATTTATTAATTTTCTTTAATAACTGGCTAAAAATATTACAAAGTGTAAGTTTAATTTGATAAATATTAATAAATTGTAAGTTAAATTTCATAAACTACTTGCAATCATTCAAATAATACCAAAATAATCGAAATTAGGCTAAACATTGCATATACATTTATGAATGTAGTTATTCTATACATAGTTGCGATACATAAGTGACAGTGTTGAAATGATTTTGACAGTAGTTGACCTATTTTTGTTTTTCAATTCAAATAAAAACCAATAATCAAATCAAATATTTTAATAATTTTTTTATAGTAAATTTGATTTCAAAATTTAATTAAACTTATTGTTTTGATAAATAGTGCCTTGGAATAAAAAAAAGTGGTAATATTGGATGTGTTATATATAAAAGATTGAGAAATACGTTTACAAGAATTTATGCACTAAATAATATTAAGTTAATGTAAGGGCAATTAAAGTTTTGTAGGTCAAGAAAGAAGGTATGGTTGGTTTTTGTATTAGGAATGGGATTAAAATAATTTTTTCAATAAGTGAGAATTATTATTTTTCATTTAAAATTAAAGAAGAAACATTAATTTTTCTTATAATTATATTTTGAAATAAAAATAAGTGAATTAAGTTTAAAATTTAGTCGTAAACCTATTAACCTAATTTTTTCTAACTCCATAAAATGTTGATATCCAGTATCTTTAATATTATTGTGTTATGTAAGATCAGTTCTGGAATTCGTAAATATCTTGTTGTAATTATATTCTACACGAAAAGCACCTATCCTAACAAATCATCAAGGTACTCATACTGAGGTATTTATTTGAATATTGATTAAATTAGTTCATGGTATTGAGAGGGACGTAGGTGGATGATGAACTAGATCAAAAAATTTTTTTTTATTCCCTTTATATGGAAAATTAAATACATGTATGTATGTATACGTTATAATAGTTATATGTGGAAGATAGCCTTATTTAATTGAAAAAAGTAAAGTAGTGTTTAGTATGTTTTATGTAAAAACACTTATCATGACCTTAATAAGATAGGCTAGTTTTACAAAAGAAGATATTATGGCAATTAATTTAATACCGGGGAATATTTAACTATTAAGAAATTAATAAAAATTTATTTCAAAAATTAATAGATTTTGAATTAAAAATTTGATTATATTTGTTTTTAAGGATATATTTTTGTAGATTTATTTATTTTTAAAAGGAATCATTATTATATTATTATTTAGTATATTGCAATATAAATAATTATGGTAATATGCATATAACACCTACCTAAATATCTGTAGTGTTTTTAAAAATTCATTAATAAAATAATTTTTTTTAGGCACATAAATGGCTAAAAATGATACTGCACCAGAGGTGGTGACTGCCTTATTAATGGCTAAAATATCAGCTGGTATAGAAAAAGTTAAAAATGAAGCTGCTGAATTACAAGCAGGTGTAGATAAAATGAAGAAATTTAAATGTAACCATTGCGATAGTTTTGAAACCGACTCAAATACCATTTTTTTGGAACATGTTCTTCAATGTTCTTCAACAGCTGCAGCTAAAAAGGAAGCCGAAGATGGGGATTCTAAAGGAATGGCACAATTACCTGAAAGAGAAGAACGTTCGTCTTCTCAATCTTCAAGAAAACTGTTTGAGTGTGATGTGTGTTTAATGAAATTTTCGAATGGAGCCAATATGAGACGACATAAAATGAGGCATACTGGAGGTAAATTTTGAAAAAACAAAAACGTATTTCTATTTCTTCCTATTTTATAAACGTTTACCTAATATTTACAGTTAAACCTTATGAATGTCGTGTGTGTCAAAAAAGGTAAAGTAATTTTGATTTTTGTGAATAATTCTGACTATTTACCGAATTATTTTCAAAAAATATTTTTTAATTATAAATTAATTAGGTACTTAAAGTTATTCTAAGTTATGTAACATTGTCGTATTAGCACTTTATAAAAATAAATGTATTTAACTTTGTATTTTTTAAACAGTTTTATGAATTTAAAAAACAATTTATTCAAATGACAATATTTTTAAGATTTTTCCGTAAAGATCATTTAGCTGAGCATTTTACCACTCATACTAAAACTTTACCTTACCACTGCCCAATTTGTAATCGTGGATTTCAGAGGCAAATAGCAATGAGAGCTCATTTTCAAAATGAACACGTCGGGCAACATGATCTTGTTAAAACTTGTCCTCTATGCAGTTTCCGAGCTGGTACAATGAAATCACTCAGAGTGCATTTTTTCAATAGGTAAATATTAAAATTTAAAAATTTAAAAATCACAAAATAGAAAGTTGTTACTAATTTACTTATTACTAATTTTTAAGACATGGCATCGATTTAGATAATCCAGGTTCTTCTGCATCATCTTCACTTCTTCTAGCTTTAAATCCATCGCAATCAAATCTGTATTGTTTGCCTTCAACATCACTACGAACAACCCCAACTACAGTTGTAACACCAAGCTATAGCGATAGTGGTGAATCTTTACGATCTACAGATAATGCGACGCCTCCATTACATTTTCTAACACCCCACGTGGAAATTTCTATGACAGAAAATGTTGACACATCAAAGGTAATCCTTGTCATTTTATCTTTTAGATTTTTTACATTCAAGCTCAATATACATGTTTAAAAACATAGCAACCGGCAGATAATTATAAAATAGCGTCTAAACAGGAAACAACAAACGACTCACCAGCATTGCCTCCTTTTGTAGATTCAAACAGCAACATATCTACAAGCTCACCAAAGTCAATTAATCTTGAGAAACAATTGAGGAAAAACTTTCAAATTGAAGACACCATTACACCGTCAATTAGCTTAATACCTATTAAACAGGTAAAATTAAGCAAAAGGCTCTTGAAAAATCATTGATGAATCATATATTTTTAGGAGCACGAAAATGATGAATATAACAATAATAACAGTAATAATAATCAGAACATTATTAACAATAATAATCACAATAAAAATGATGACCAAAATGGGACCGATTTGGGAAAAGAATGTCCGGAGTCACTGAATAATAGAAATATAGCGTCAACGATAAAAGTAGAAATTTTTAAAAAATTTAATTCATAAAATTTGTAATTTTTGTTAAATAATTAAATTTTAGGTGTCACCTTTGAAATCCCTATTAAGAGAAGATTTAAAAAGAAGATTAAATGCTAAAGCGAACAATATTGCAGTTCGCAATTTTAGTGCTGCTGCAGCAGCTGTGGCAGCAATAACTAACAATAATAACAACAATTGTATGAATAATAATACTGAAAAACATAGTTTACCAACAGAAATAATTTCGTGCAACAATATAGGAACATCTAATGGAATGATCACTTCAAGCGAACAAGAAATGGATATGTCTTCTCTAAACAGAAATTTGCAATGTTTATTTTGTAAAATTGAATTTCCTGATCAAACCTTATATTTTCTTCATAAAGGGTGTCATAGTGAAAGTAATCCCTGGAAATGTAACATATGTGGTGAACAATGTGGTGGTGTTTATGAATTCAATTCACATTTACTAAGTAAAAGTCACCAATGAATTTTTGATAACATGATGAATGCATATATGTTACCTTATTTATGACATATGTATATGATAATACATACTCATAAGAAATAAATAGTACTAAAAAGTAAAGCTAACTCAAAATATTACAAAAACAAAATGTAATTAAATTAAATATTTCTTGGAAAAGATGTTTGAACAATTTATATAATATATGAAAATACATTTGTTACAAGAAAAGATAATATACTGTAAATAAGATTTCAAAATTAAAAATATTATTATATAAATTAGTATCTATTGGAAAAAATTAGCAAATATGAAATAAATGCAATTTATATTTATTTATATGTAAATATCGATAAATAATGATTGTTATTGTTACTTATATGAATAATATAATAGGAAAATTTTCAAGTCTTTCACATTCCTTGTATACTGTTTTCTTTATTGTTTTTTTTTGTGTTATGAAAAGGAAATGCAGTTTAGTTTAGGGAAAAATCTATTTTTAATATTCAAAAACATTAGACAAAAAGAAAATGAATTTTATATAAAATTAAGAATAATAGTACTTAAATATGAAAATATGTATATTTACAAGATTATAAAAAAAAATTTAATAAATTTAAATATTTACATGGTTATATATTTATCAAAAGACAATTTTAACACGTAGATTCCATTATTTTTTTATAAAATGCTAAAAAAAAAGAGTTTTAACCTTGCCTACAAAATAAATAGAAAGACCAAACTTTGTAAAACATTTCATTGTAAGAAATGTTAAAATTTGTTGAAATAAAATATATTTAAAAATTAATAAAGAAAAAAATATATATGTATATACATATATTAAAAAAACATATTTATCGAATGTATAACAGTACTTATGATATAGTATATATACATATAAAACAAATATATATACATATATATATATAAATATATATATTTAACTGTATAATATATAAACTGTTAAATAATATTAACATGTTATTCGATTATTCATAAATTTATAAAATAGTTATACTTATATAAAGTTGTTAAAAATTAGAATTATTAGATTAACTTTTATTGAAATTGGTTTATGTTTTGTTTTATTTCTTTATTATGTAAAATATTTCTTGTTATATTATATTAAAAAAATTAAAATGTTCTATATAAAAAAAAATTATTATGAATTCGTTAAAAACATTATTAAGAAAAATACATAGATTTAAATAGTTATTCCGTCCAATAATTAAAAATTTATTTTCTTTTATTTCTATTTTTGTTTCTTATATTTAACTTTTCTAATTAATTTCGAAACAACTATTAGTGAAAAGAAAGTAAAACTAGTGCAGTGTGATAGAAAAATTCCGCAACTTAATTTTGAAAAAAAAAAGAGCGAAAAAAAGATTTATATAAAACTATAAAATAAAAATATATATAATCAATGTTATTAAAAATAATGAATAAAAATCTGTTACATCAAAACAAAATTTAAAGAAAGAATACTAAATCTATTTTATTTTATCATCTAAATATTTCAAATAGGACAATATTATGACATAATTGTTTTGTATAACTTTTATTTAATATCAAATCAATATTAATTTAACTATTAATATAAAATAATACATACATACATTCCTTTTTCTTTGGTAACAATATGTTAATAATATTATTATATTGCTTTCTTGTTATTTTTTATATTTTATATTTCGAAAAGAAAATTTAAAATTTAAAAAAAAAAAATTAATAATTTTTATCGGCAAAAATTCTACCTCGAAAAATTTTTTTAAAAAAATATCTGTGCCAATCAGTGCCCAACTAAGATGTTTTATATTTTGGTATTGTACGGAAAAACGATATTAAATGAAACATCTTTGTGTAATAAAACCATGATAATTAAATATAAAAATAATAACTGAGTAGAAGAAAAGTGCATATTTAAAAAAAAAAAATTAATAATCTGCTCTTAATAAGAAAAAAATATAAATTTAAATCGCAAAAACAGAATGTTATTGTTATATAAATACAATATATAGATGCATTATATACATTATAATAAAATTTTCAATTTTAGAAAAATTAACATAAATAATTTAAATGAAATGCAAAAAATAAAAATAATTTATAAATATACATATATACTTATATATGTAAATATATGTATAAATGAAAATTTTTGAACAAAATTAATAAATATTTGAAAAATAAAATAGATATTTTAAAAATTAAAAATAGATGATTTTAAATTAAGAGAATTAAAATGAATTTTCTTTTTTTTTTTTTTTACTTTTTTCTTTATCATATTATTGCTTTAGAAAAAATTTCTCGCTCTAAATAGAAAAAAATATTAAAATTAGTCAATTTTAGCTCTTAAAATTTTTGTATAAAATGAAATTATATTGTTTCTGAACCTTTATATACATAATATATTACCAATTTTAAATGATTAACTTATTAAATTAAATATTTTTCAGGAAGGCTAAAACAAATACCTGATAATAATCTAATAATGAATTTATGTATATTGAAAATTTTATTATTTTCAAATATTATAAAACAAAAAAAAAAAAAAAAACGAAAAAAAGAAAAGAGAATCAATGATAGAAAAAAAGAAAAATATAAGTTTCAACAGAATTTTAGAGTCAATTAAAGTTTAAGTAATTAGTGCAAAAAATTATAAAATAAAGTAAAAATTTAACAAAACAAAAAAAAAACAAAAAACTTCTTTTATTTATTTATAAAAGATTTTCTTTTGTTTATATCTATTGTATTATAAAAATAAAAATTAAAGAAAAAAAAAGTTAATTGTTATTATTTAATAAGAAATTATTTTACAATTACAATTTAATTTATTCACTCAATTTTTGGCTAAAACAAAGTGATTTGTAAAACTTTAAATTATTTTAGTCTATTATGTAATTTTCTAAATGTGTTCTTTTTGTTTGCTATTATTATGAAATATAAAATATAAAAATTTTATATATTTTTTAGTAGTCACACTCAATTTATTTTTTTATATAAAGTAAGAAAATTATTTATGTTGAAAATTTAATATTATATTAATCACACCAGCATATAAATTATTGTAACCAAGAAGCTAAAATAATTTTTGTTAAAAAATTTTTTTTAAATTTAAAATTAGTTTTTTTTAAAAATGCTGTTCAAAATAATTATACTGTATTTATTAAATATTTTCGTATACACAAATACATACAATAAAACCAAGTTTCTTTTTAAATAAAATAAAACAGAAAGGTTTTTAAAGTTTGACTAGAAATATGTAATAGATTAAGTTGCTTAACTCAATTAATAAAACAAAAAATAAAATTAAAAATGAAATAAAAAAAAAAAAAACAAAATATAATCTCATTCGGTAAGGTGAAAAATGTTCAAATTAATAAAAAACAAAAAAAAAAACCAAAAAAAAAAAATACATTTAGACAAAAGAAACATTACAGCATAAAAAATATTATCAATATAAAATTTTCCATTTATATTTGTAGAAAATTTTTCAAATTTATTATATTAAATCAAAATTTTATAGTGCAATATAAATTACATATATATTAGAAATTTAAGTAAGATCATTACTTCCGAAATTAATTACTATGAAATGTTGGAAGTAAAATTCTTAAATTTTTAATTAAACAATTTATAAATGGAAAATTTTATAAAATAACAACATATTGAATTCTAGTTCTAAAAAGAAAAATATAAAATAATAAAAGATGAAAAGTGTAAAAAAAAAATATATTAATTGAAGAAATCAATCCATAGATTTAAATACACTCATAACAGTTCTTTGTAGATTTAATTGTTTTCTCTTCACATTCTATTTAACTTTAAAAACGAAAAAACAATGAAAAATGTAAGAAAATTAGTTGAAAATTGCATATGAGGCGCTAAACGCAACTTCTTTTTTTTTTTTTTTTTTTTATTTTGTTTGTTAAATTTTTGAAATATTATTTTAATAAAACTTATTTTATATTATTTAGGAGGAATAAAGTGTGTTATTTATATTTTATTTTTTAAAATTTTTTTTTTTCAAATATCGAGCTTAATTAAAATTCATCGTAACTTTTATGTATCCTTTTTATAAGATTGATTTGTGTGGGTTATTGCACATCTTATTGCTTTCTACTAATTAAACTGAAAAATGTCCTCGACTCAGCTTTGTTTTTGAGACTGATTCTATTTTCTTTTCAATTTTACATTATATAGATTTCTATATTTATTTAGATATAATGATTCAGATGAAAATGGAAATTTTAGAATTCAAAAAAATTGCTTATTTATAAAATAGGTCAATACGATTTATTAAAACATCATAATTTTTTAAATTTTGTAAAACACTTAAAAAAAACACTTGCGCAAATTAAAAAAAATTTCAAAGTGAGATTTTTTTTTTATCAAAAAGAAAAAAAGCTAATCAAAAAAAAATAGTTTTGAATTTCTTCTGTTACTGGTGCCATATTTTTATTTTTTGTTATATTATTTAGCAAGGAACACTCCACATCATAAACTTCGTTGCTGGTTGAATCACATCAAACAATGTTTCTAAAAATTAATTAGATTCCAATTTTTAAAATGCATTTTCTTCTAACCTATTTATAATTACCATCAGTATTGCAGCCATGAAATGCAACATACTTCAGTGTTTCCCAGGGTAATTTGCTCAATCCTAAATTAGTAACTTTTTTATTATTACTTACATTTAATTCTTCTAAATGGTCAACCAATTCTGATTTTGATATATTGTAAAGAAATTTATCTGAAATCTTATTATTATATAATTATTAGTTTTAATATTAAATTTAAAACTATATTTAAAAAAATTTACCTTTGTATTTGAAACATTAAGATTCTTTAAAGCCAATTTTTGTAAAGAATTGAAACAATCATCTGATATTTGTGAACCAGGAATACTCAAGTGATTTAATGATGTACATGAAGTAGCTAAATTTTCAATAAATTGATCATTTACAAGAAAACAATTAAATATTTCCAATTGTTTCAATAGTCTTAACTTCGAAACTTGTAATATCCCTAATTATGTAATTTATTAAATACGTAATTTAAACAGAATTTTGAAATAAAAAATTTACCTTCGTATGATAAATTTTTTGATGTTCCTTTAAAATATAAAGATTGTATGTTGGTGCTTTTCATAGAAATATTAAGTAAAAGATTATCATCTGTGTCAAACGAAACAAGATTTAGATTTGTTATTGCATCATTTAGAAGTATTTGGAAACTTGGAACATAAATTTCTTGTAAGCAACGTGTAATAAAACGAATAATTTTTGTTTTTAAATGCCTTGGTAATTTGATAAAATAATCATTGTTCTCATATAATCTCATGTTTCTTGCAACGCATTTAATGCACCTAAAATTTGAACAGACAAATTTTATGTAGGTGGGTAGAATAGGAACAAGTATAAATATTATTATAGTTTTGTGTGCGAAACATTATTTCAAACCATTTCTCACATTGAAAGAAGTGTACTTGATGAATTCCTTAAAGGTTTAGATTTTTTTGATTGCACCATTTTTTTTAAATTTTGTCTTTTTTATCTTTTTTTTTTAGACTTTTTCTACATTGCACAAAAATATAAATATGTAAATTGTTTATTTTTTTTTTATATTGTTTCTATAGTTTCACTTTATTTGACAATTGGATTATTTCTTTACAGGGGTACCAATATATAAAATTAAAGAAATATGTGCCAATTACGGTGCCAATCTCAATTGAGTCAGTAGACGGTAGATTTAGACAGATTAATTACCATAAATTTTTTCAGTATTTTATTAAAGATTAAGTTATTGGTTACGGTTAAATTATACATCTTTATTTCGTTTAAGCTTTCTGTTTCAAGAAGAACTTAGAAATATTACAAATTAGGATTTAGTTTTGAATAATATTTAGAAGAATTTAATCATAAACATTTGTTTTTAACAATTTATTTCATGCAAATGTTGGCCATGACTATATGTTAAGAGTTATGTTTGAAATCTCGAATATCTCCAATTTACCAAATACACATTTATCTTTAACTTATATCCTTAATTTCATTGTAAGTATATGGCCGAATGTCGCATGCATGAAATTCTCGTATCATACTTAATTTTGACATACATTATTTTCTAATAATGTAACGCGACAAATTTTACGAGCTTCATATAAAAAATGTACTATGAAATATAAATTTTGACAGCCGCTTGAAGCGTGTCGCGCTGTTTTAATTACATCACTAAATTCCAATTACATATTGAATTTTTATTAACTTAATTTTTTTATTATAATTTAAAGTTTAATCTTTTTCTGGTGCTGAGATTATATTTAAGTATTTAGATAATTCTTATATGTATGTATTATGTGTATTGTTTACATGCAATATACATAATGAGATTTGCAAATTAAAAGGTCAAAGATTGTAGATATCGCATTTTATTGTTACGTATTTACATACATAAATACATTACATTATGTATGGATGTATATCTACAAAGGGTACTCTGAAATATATGTATTTTTAGAAGTATTCAAGTATTATTGAAAATAAAGATTGAATTTTTTGTAAATATATAAATATTTTATTACATTAATTTAGTTTAATATTGTATCTTATTTGTATATGATTAAATTAAAAATGAATTACATAATCTAATAATTAATTATATATATATATATATATATATATATATATATATATATATTGAATTATAAAATTTAAATTTATAAAATATTTGGACTAAGCACATTTTACATTTTATATTACATTTTTAATATTAGTTTCAATTTATTTGCTACTTATTCTAACACCTAAAATTATGCAATAAACTAATAATTTATGGCAGTATAAAGGTACTATATGGATAATGCCATAGAGTATTTAAATTTAAAAATGTTTCTTTTTTTTCAGATTAATTGCAGACAAATGTTTTAATACTACAAAAAATATTCAATGAATATCACAAGAATTCAACAAATTATTTTAACATTTTTTCTTTTGAGTTGAACTATAATTATGTCTCATAGGCGAAAAATTTATTTATATGTAAACAAATAAATGGAGCCTAAAAATATGTTATTTTTCAAATATTTTAAATATATAATTTGGTTACCTTATATCCGTTTTAATCATAGGTAATATTATATACATACACGCTATGGAACGACATATATATATATATATATATATATTTTTATAAGATTAGGAAGAAATTGTAGTTATATAATATGTATGTTATAATATATATAATCTATAATATATGTGTTATGATATAAATATAATATATAAGTATATGCAATAATAATAACATTATAATAATAATATCTTTAACTTTTTATAGTTACATATATATATATATATATATATACTTATATACATATATATATATATATATAATCAATATATCCGTACGTACTCGCGTTATTTTTTTTCTTACCATTTTCCTTTCCTTTGGTTATAATAAAGTCAAAGCTCTTCTTAACATTCATCTATTATTTATATGCCGTATAATTTATGATAAACTTAATACAATTAAGTAAAGAATACATTAATAAATCAAATTTAGTCATGTACACAATATTGTTTAATTTTTTTTTTATTTTTTTATTACCTTTTTTTTTTTGTTTTTGTTTCCGCACCTTTTTAAATTATAAGACAATATATTCATTGGTATATACCTATATGCTTATGTATAATATGATATATAAGAATGTATATGTATATTGTATGTAAATATTTATCTATATGTTTCAATGTTTATATTATTATACAATATAATAACAGATATATGTGTATTTCAATATATATATATATATATATAATTTTATATATATAATTTATATATCAGATTTTTTTTCATTGTATATATTTTCTCTCTTTATGGTCGTGTAATATGCAACAAATGATTGTGTAAAGTAATTATATACAATATTTTTGTTATACATGTTGTTATTTGAATGTTTTTGTATGTATAGTGCTCCTCAAAGTGGGGGTATATAAATACCTAATATATAAGATGACAAAAAAATTCTCTCTCAGTTAATAAGCATATATATTAACATATAATATCTTATATATTATCTTATATACTAGAATTATATATATTTCTGTATATAATAATAGTATATAACAATTTATTTATCATAAGAAATATATACATGTTCATATATATCATAATATAGCACTATATGTGTTAATTTATAACACTATATGTGTTGAAAAAAAATTACAAATAAAAAAAAAATTATTTTACTTTTCATTCTTACTTTGGTATTAAAGGACTTTCTTTTCAAATTTTCACCAGTATAAAATTTATCCTTATGTTGTTCGGTATTATTATTCTTTTACTCAAGAAAATTTGTTATATGTATATATATATAACATAATTAAATATTGAAAGAAATCATTATATATTTTAAATCTAAATAATATTTTTTTTTTGTGTTCTTTTGTTAATATAAAAATTTCCTTTTTTTTTATATATATTATTGTTATATACATTGAACTGTGAAATAACTTGTTGCTATAATAATTTTTTTTCGGCTATTTAAACAGAGTATGATAAATGTATATAATATATGTATATATACAATATATCAAACAAACATAATTAAATAATCATGAAATAATGAAAATTTTTTGTGAATTCTTTTTTAATTTTATTCTATCATTATTTAATTCCATAAATTATGAAAAGATATATTTGTAATTATATTAATATTAATTTTAAATGATATTTTTTTTTAACAAATAATCAACATTTCATTATAGTACTTATATATTTTAATAAATCAAGTATATATTATATACTTCTAAATAAAAAATGTGTAAATTAATTTGAAAGAAAATATTAATAATAATAAAATAAAAAATTCTAAACGTAAATTAATAATAAAAATAAATAATAAATAAATATTTAATAGCTAAAAAAAATTTAATTTAATTAAATGTAATTAAATATTATAATAGAATAATTCCAAGTATTCCAAATTAAGTGGTGTAACTAATTGAAAATTAAAATAAATAAAATAATTATTTTTAATTTTGGTTTCTGAAAATAATTCTTTTATTATAAAAATTTTTTCTTTAAATTACAATATACTGTAAGAAATTGTACATGTATATAATAATAAATTCTATATGAAATTTGTTATACTGTTTTATATACGAGTATATGTATATATGTACTTAATG